TAGGTATGCTCATTACCTTGAGTTATTTTAGCCTGTAATCAAGAAATATGCTACATAACTAGTACTTAGCAGGATACTAATGAAGAAAAAGATATTCAGATGCGACAACATATCCATACTTACAAAGATCTGAATTGTGCAAGGAATGGTTTTCCTCATGACATGCTATTGAAGCAAAAATTGAGTGAAGAAGCAGGAGGAAAATAATACTTATATATGTGGTGTTGAAGAACCTAAGATTCCTAAGGATACCATGGATTCCCAAGAAAACGAAGAAGAAAAAAGAATCACTGAAGAAATAGATCCAACTATCCACTTGAGACTCAAAGGACCAGTCTCAAATTATTATATTTTGGGCGCATTATGTGAAGTTCTCTTGAGATGATAACAATGTTGGAAAGGAAAGAAAGGTAAGAAGAAGAAGAGAACTATCAGCAAGAAGGATGGATTTGATTACAGTACCTTTGGAGGATCATGGGGGCAAGAAAGGAGCAGATCTGTCTATATATTGGTTAATAGTGACACCAACCTGACAACATATGATCGATCAATCAATCACTCCTTAAAGTTTAAAGTATCATTTCTAAATCATGTCACATATTTCTGCTTAGTCACAATGTTAAATTATTTGTTTTGAGTGCCGGGAAATCACATTTTAAGAAGAATTATAACAGCTTATATTGCTTGCTATATCTTGCTATATAAAGTTTTTGTCCTGAATTTATAAACTGTTATTATATTTAAATATATTCTGTTTTATTATTTTGTGGTTTATTCTCAGTTATTTGTATTTTTAGACTATAAGGATAGATAATCAGCTTATAAAAACCAGTATGCAATAATGCTTTTAAAATTGGACATTTACTTAAAGGCAGGGGTGGGTTTCGGCAGTCACTACTGCTGTTTCACTTGTGGCCACGCCACACACGCTTGATGCACGTCGTGCGCGCATGCACAGTGCAATAAAAATTGCTCTGCACATGCACAGAAGCAAAAAAAAGATGGTGACTTCTATGGGGTCACTGGGAGAATTGGATCAGGGGCATGACAGGCCTGGGTTGCTGCTGGTTCCAGTGAACCAGGCCGCCAAGCCACTACCGGTTCGGTCGAACTGGTCCGAACCGGTAGGAACCCACCACTGCTTAAAGGTGATTCATTTGTTGTCTTTGGGACTGTGTTAAATGTAAAATTTAAGTATAAGGAAAAAAATCAAATCAATGGGCTCAGATGGTGCTTTTACCTATCCTTATAGACCATTCAAGGGGACTGACACGAGAAAGGAAAATACTACAAAGTGAATAACTGGCAATGTGCCAGATGATTATAAAACAGCAAATGTTGTTCCTATCCTGATAAAAGGAAATAAGAGAATACAAGAAACATAGATCAATAATGTGATAGGCAACCATGGGTAGTTTCTTGCATGGTTATAAAGTGAAAGAAGGAATTTGAAAAGAATGTGTCATTAGAGAAAATCAGCATTGGCGTGCTAGGTTAACTTTATTTCTTTGTTTTTTATTAGATAATTTCATTAGTAAATTTTGAGTATGCTTTATACATAATGCTTCTTGATATTAGCAAGATAGTTAAATAAATAGTCTATGGCATTTTGATTAGTAAACTAGTTAAATGAAGGTTAAATAACAATGAAAATCCAATAGATACATGGATGGTTGAAAGCTGTGGTCAAATAGTGTTCATGAATGGTTCCTCATTAAATTGGGGGTAGGTGCTTGGACTTGTCTTTCTCTTGTAACTCCTCAACATTTTTATTAAATGAACAGGTAGAACAAAAGCTTACCAGTTCTATCCCCAATTGGCCTGGATAGCCACTATTTTAAAAGACAGATTTGAGAAATAAAATTAATGAAATGTAAGAGAATAAATGCAAAGCTAAAGATAGATAGCTATCTTGATAAGATTTTTGAAAAAGATCTTTTGATTTTTATTTATTTTATTTTGTAATGCATGAATTAGATGACAGATATAAGTATAGACATGATTATGAATACATGAAATGAATACAAATACAAGGGAATATTAGGACAGGGACGGTAGGCGCGGTGATGCGTTTATGCATGCCCCTTAAAGATCTCTTAAGAATGGGGGGAGGTCGACAGTAGGCAGTCTAAGGTTAAAGTTTTGGTGGTTTAGGGAAGAAACCACAGTGTCAGGTAGTGCATTCCAGGCATTGACAATTCTGTTTCTGAAGTCGTATTTTCTGCAATCAAGTTAGGAATGGTTTACCATAAGTTTGTATCTATTGTGAGCTCATGTGTTGTTGTGATTGAAACTGAAGTATTCATTGGCAGGTAGGACATTGTAGCAGATAATTTTATGTACTATGCTTCAAAGACTGCGAAGTTGTAAATTGTCTAAGCTCAAAATTTCAAGTCATGGTTTACTAGTTGATGACAAACTAAACTTGAGTATGCCATGGCTGCAAAAAAAGGGAAATGTCACTCAGTAGGGAGTGTAAACTAGAAATGAAGTTCTACAAAGAGAGATTTAAGGTACGGACAACTTCAAACTTGAGAAGTCTGAAAGGACACATGGGAGCACTCTACAGGCAGGTTCTGAAGGAATGTTAGGAAACTCATCTTAGCAGTTAGAACAATTTGATTGTGAATTTAATTACCCCCAAAAATAATGAACTCTCCTTCACTGGATGAGCTCAAAAAAAGCCATGTATTTATTTTTTACAGTTATTTTTTAGATTTACATCCTGCTTTCCATCCTGGAGTGTATTGAGGCAGTATACAGAGTTATCTGCAAATCTAATTCTACTACTTATATAACTTCTCTAGATATCTGCAGTTTGAGCAAATTGTTCCAGAAGACTTGAAAATGCTTTCAGATAAATACACTCTAAAAAATTTCCTATGAGTGGAAATCCTTATAGTTTTAACACTATAGTCATCCTCCTATTTAGACTTTTGAACATTTACAGTACAGGTAGTCCTCAACTTACAAGCATTAGTTGAGAAACTATTTGAAGTCACAAGATTCTGAAAAAAGTGACTTTTTCAGTTTAGCAATAGCACTTAGATTTACATACCACTTCACATTGCTCTACAGTCCTCTCCAAGGATTTACAGAGTCAGTATATTGCCCCCCCGAAATCCTGATCCTCATTTTACTGACCTCGGGAGGATGGAAGACTGAGTCAACCTTCAGCAGGTGAGGATCGAAACCCTGGCAGTCAGCAGAGTTAGCCTGCAATACCACATTTTAACCACTGCACTACCATTGTAGCATCCCCACTGTCTGAACAAAATTCAAGTGCCTGGCAATCAGTGTATATGGTGTTTGGCTTCCAACAAGCAAAGCCAATCGGGCAAGCCAAATTTACTCAACCACAGGATTCACTTAACAACTGCAGTGATTTGCTTAAGAATCATGGCATAAATGGTTGTAAAATTGGTCATGACTCATTTAGCAACCAACTTGCTTAGCAATGGAAATTCTGGTCTCAATTGTATAAGTCAAGTAAGTCAACTACCTGTATGCTGTCTTAACAAATAAATTAAGATGTTTAAAAGATTGAAGTGATATTTGCTCAACATGTTATATTACTACACAGTTCCAGCATCTTTAAATAATGATCAATAATTTCTGTTCCTGTTTTCAAATTTTATCTTTCTACAGAGCTAATACAATGCAAAATGAAAACTAAAATTAAAGAATTACATTTTTATATAATAAATGTTTATCTACAAATATTATAAATACTGTCTGTTAGAATACAATGTGATAAACTATTCTGAAATCATGGTTCATATATCATAGATAAATCCATTATTATTGTTGGGTTTTTTTGCTAAATTTAATTCTAAGTTCTTGAAAATTTCCTAAAACTTTTATTGAAAAGACATCCATTACATATTTTGTAATGTTAAATACATCTTGCATAAAGTGTCTTGTAGGAATTTGATTTGAAAACTTTCTTATTCTGGACATTAAATTTAATGAGACAAAAGGGGCTAAAAGATTGGACCTATAATATACCTCTGCAAAGAATGTGAGTACTCACTGTAGCCAATGTATAATTGTCCTCTATAATCTGATTGTTTAATTTTGAAAGTAATAATATATGAAACACATCTTAATTACTAATGAGCTGAATAACAATTTGATTAACATAGGACTTGATCAACAGGTATTTTTGCCACTTGATTACTTTGAGGATAAAATGAAAAGTCTTTATGGCCTGATATGCTGCCATATCATAAAACTCACTCCTTTAGTCACTCTGCCCAGCAGCACTCATCTACTATAAGACAAGATGAGGCAAAATGGGACAAAATTGCACAATGTTGCATTTTCCCTTTTAAAAAATCCATTTCTGAGTGCACCCAAAATCAAGTATAATCCTCCCATATGTGCTCGATTACAACTTCTGTTATGCTTTTACATTGGTTTTATGATGTAGATAAAACAATTATCATGATAATTCTGCTGTTGGAATTGCTATCCTAGATCAATATTTGTTAATCAACAAGGCTCAATCTTCGCCAGATTATTGCCTAGTGGGTAACAGCTAATAACAAATCTTAACCTATGCAGCAAAGATCCTGGTTCACTTCTATCAATTGGTCACAGGACTGTACTAACACAAAACGAGCTGCATGCTTTTCCCTTTTTCTCTTATGTATGCTAAACTTATGCAAGAGTAATTTACTACTAAAAATCACACAATGAGTCTTCATTAAGCTGGATGGAGTGTACAGAATTCAATACTGAATGCGATGAGACAGTTATAAGGAGTCAGGATGTAAGACTCAAATTATTTTGGTCCTTGCAAATGTTTCGTACAGAAAGATTTATTTTTAAAATTAAGTTCTGTTACAGAAAAGGCAATGTCTTCATATAAATGTGCAGAAATTATATGTTCACGCTTGAATATGCAGGTAACAGTATATAGTACTAAACATATATGCATTTCATATTTTATATTGCTCCAAAAACCAACCCAATTTGCATCAATACTTTTTTATTACCTTGAAGTACTGCAGTTGCTTCTCCGCATTCATTGTTCCTTCATTTTCTTGCCTCAGACAGGAATTGAAGATAAAAAGCTCAGTATCTCTCAGCCATCCTTTTAGTTCTTTGATTCTGACCTCCAGTTGCCTTACTAGGTTGCCACTTTCAGGGGAAAGCAAGTCACGTGCTCCTAACCCGCTGTGCCCCACCAATGAGTCTTGAATCTTCTCTTGTAGAGTTTTCTAATGCAACAGAGAAAGAAAACATAGATTAATCTAAGGTTCTAAAGTAAGTATATCTAACAGCTAACCACTGATTAGAAAGCAACTAAATTAGTTGCTCTAACTCCTGATTTATCTTTATCATGTTTTTTAAAAAGAATATTCTGTTGAATTTAGCATGGCAAATACGGTAAATAGATACAGAACAGATTTTAGTGTTTTTAGTATATTTCTAATAGAGTTATCAAAATACTGTCTGAGCCCATATAGATGGATTGAATTGTTTTTTGGGGTGAACAATTCTCAAAGAAGTTTGGTCATCAATGGAAGCTCATGGGTATAATATTCTGGTTGTGTTATAGAATACCTACTACAGATATATAGTCAAATGTTCAGTGGTGGGATTCAGCCAGTTCGCACCACTTCAGGAGAACCGGTTGTTAACTTTCTGATCAGTTTGGTGAATTAGTTGTTGGAAGAAATCATTAGGGCAGAGAACTAGTTGTTAAATTATCTGAATCCCACCACTACAAATGTGTTATACACAGCTGAAACATAGATGTTAAGTTATGATTTGAAGTTGCCACAATGCTGAACTTATATAATTTGCTGAATCCATGGCTTATCACAGAGGTTTGATTTTCACAAAAGCCAAAAGCAAACAATGATGGCTTAGTTGATGCAAAATCTTGTAATCTCAATTCATCTCAGTGCCATATGTTTTCCTATAGAAGATTTTTATCAAATCAGTAAAAACTGATTTGGATCCAAAAAACTGCAAATAGACCTATGACTGAGAACCTACTTTTCTATTCAATAGTATTACAATTAGTTATCTTTCTTTAGACATTTCTGTGGAGGTACTAGATATACCTTGAATGGGGTGGAATAATAGCAAAAAATAGCTAGGAGATCTGTGGCAAGAAATTCAAGAGAAGGAAGTATCTCCCTACACAAAGAAAAATGCCTTCTGCTGCAACATTTTGTATCTGAATCGTCATTTTCTTAAATTTACGGTATGTGTAATAAGACATATGAAATGATATAATGAGAAAATCAATTACTTGGCTCAGGGGATTATCATGTAAATTAATTACAATCAAAGTACACAACAATGGTGCTTTCCATATGCTTTTTGGAATATGGCTCCCAAGGTTCCAAAAATATTATCTAGTCTTTCTGGAGTTATGGTTTAAATCAACTAGATGGATCTAGATTGTGCACTATGATCTAACATAAAATGTATGTATCTTGTTACATACAATTGTAGCAAGAAATTTTAACCAGAATTATACAATGAAATAGTAAATAGACTACATGGAAAGTTTTAAAATTATTTATAATAATAGCATTTTTAAAAATGCCACTTATTGCCAATAACTTAACTATTCAATGATATTGGATAGTTAAGCCTTAGAGAAGATATACTGAAATCAATAGAATCAAGTGAATTTAACTTAATTGTTGCTTAACAATTAACATAAGGGAAACTGATAAGGTGCCACATGGTATGGTCATCTGAAGATCAAAGGAAAAAAAAGAAAAGGACATGGAAGGACAGTTAGGAAAGCTATATGGGATGGGCATGACAGATGTAATAGCACAGAAAGATATAAGGCAGGCATTCTTCTATAATTATTTAAATATATATTTTTTCATTCAGAATCCATTTTGAGTTTTCTTTGTTGATTTTAGAATCACTTTGATTTGTTGTACTGATAGGGTTAAATAAGCATATATCTTAGCTTTCAGATTGCAGAGTGATAAGTCAAGGTGGCGCAGTGGTTAAATGCAGCACTGCAGGCTACTGCTAGATCAGCAGGTCAGCGGTTCAAATCTCACCGGCTCAGGGTTGACTCAGCCTTCCATCCTTCCAAGGTGGGTAAAATGAGGACCCAGATTGTTGGGGGCAATATGCTGACTCTCTGTAAACCGCTTAGAGAGGCCTGAAAGGCCTATGAAGCGGTATATAAGTCTACTGCTATTGCTATTGCTATTGCTATTTATTGGGATTCGTTGGTAATTCAAATCAATTGATGCCAATTCTCAGATTCTGTAGAAATTCTCACCAATCCTCTTGTGTACTCACCAATCCATTCATTTTTTAAAAAGTGGAAATGGGACTGCGGGAATCTAAAATTCAGCTAGCATTCTTTTTGTACCCAAGACAACCTACTCCATCAAACATCATTTTAAAACAGTGTTAACATGGCAGAGATATCATCCAAGAACAATTTCATCCTTTCTCCTGTTGGGTTTGAAAAATGGTTACTGATACAGATGTGTGTATATATTATTATTATTATTGACCTAGGTATTTATTAAGCTGCTATCACGCATCACCACTAATTTCTGGATGTATAATTGCTTGGATTCAGTTTCACTTGTGCTACTTTTACGTAATAGCCAAATTGGAGGCATTAAAGACTTGGTTTTAACTGTAATTACAATGACTCAAAATACTTCAAAATTATGTTGCAATAAATATTTGTAGCTCAGGTTTGAAATGAGGGGTCCTCAGATCACCCCCATCCACACAGGTAGGCAAGACACCAGAATATGAAGTGACAGCAAATAGCACTCCTTACTAACACTGATGACATTATCTAGTTAAGGTAATGAAATGTTTGCAAGAAAACAAGCAATCTCAGAGAGCACCAAGGACCCCTCATTAAAATTATGTGAATGGTTGCATTGTAATTGGAGTTATTGTTACAAGACTTCCAAAAGCTAGACTTTCTTTGCCTGCAATAATCAATGGATTATTAAAAGGAGAGTAAGTTAGGATTAGTCCCATTGAAATCAGTGAAATGGGAAATAAGTGTTTTGAGAATTTAACAGCCTAACAATAGGCTTTGAAATACATACTGAATTAAATCAACAAATACTCATCTATTCTCAAACATTGTGCAAATAATGTGTTTGGGAGATCATAACAGAATAAAACAAGCATTCTTGGCAACACCCTTCTATTTTGATGGCTCAAATATTGATAATTTGAAGGCTCTCAGTGGAATCCAGCTTCAGCTATTGTTTTTACGCTGTAACAAAAGTAGCAGCAGGAGGTGAAATCAATGCCCTTGGTGGGTAGGGTCACAAAAAAGAATTTATTGCCACTTTTTTGTTCTGGAACAGTTTGCAATCATAAATTCTTCATAAACAGAATACTTCAGAGAATGGTCCGTCTTCATAAATATACGACAGAGGACATCAATTTCATTTAATTCACAATTTGTGTCAGCACAGCAGATGCCAATGCCTGCCTTGATAGGGTTGTTTAATATGCAATTGAGACTGAGTAATATTCAGCACAGGGGACAAAATTTCACAGATTAAACTGTACGCACCACTGACATTTCATTCTAATGTATTTCCATTCCACACTGTTCACCTTAGATGAAAGTAATATTAAAAACCATATCTCTCTATTTTACCATTGTTAGAAGTTAAAATCCTTGTCTTTAATTTTTTTATGCCAATTAAAAGTAATCATGCCAATTAAACAGTGTGCATGGTGTTGTTAGTTTCCAGTTTTTCTTATTAAATTAAAGAAAACTCCATCAAAAACTGCTCATTAGACGTGAAATTTCATTTAGGAAGAAAAAGCAACTTTTTTTTGTAAATGCAGAAATTAATTTGAAAAAGTAATATAAAATTGCTTCTTGATAGAAAAAGAAAGGACCTTTAAAATTCATTTTAAATGGCAGAGTGGTCTTTTATTTCTGTTTTAAAATCTGATTATTTTAATGAAGGAAAGTTGATTAATTGCTTTTCTGACTGACTGTATATGCTTCTGGGGTAACCAAGAATTTAGGATTGTTCTTGAAATGCACTGATTTAAAAAGATGAACAATTAATTTTGTATGCCCAAGGGGAATTTGAGTTTGATATAAAATAGTCCTTTTCCACATCACACAGCATCTACCTTTCCTCTCGGAAAGAGAGAAATGTTATATGACATGGGGATTGCTTCTTCCTAATGAAAACAAAAGAAACAGAATTAGAAATACTATTGCTGCTGAATATGATTAAAAACTTGGGAATACCTAAAGCAGCTGTTGGAAACATAATCTTATGCCACCCTCAGCAGATGATCAATGCTATCAAAACTCATCATATCAAATATCCACCCACTCAGCATAGTATGTGTAATTCTTTTTCCAGTTTGAGTGGTTTTCAATAAGTAATAGGTGGCCAAAGCGTACAGACAGAGGCAACTATGTGCAGGCCGTGTTTAATAATATTTCCCAAACTATGGAAACATCATTGGTCCATAGAGGTCGGCATCAGGGAATATTTTGTAATTGTTAAGGACAGAAATTTTTCTTCCAATAAAACATTGCATTTTTATATTGCAGTATTTAAATGTCTCAATCTAAAAGTGCAATTTTTCAAAAGATATTTTGATTCATGAAAAGTGGTAGATGTGCAGAAATTGGCTTTTTGCACGGTTGGCTGAGCACAAAATCTTCCGTGCAAAACTCTGAGAAGTGGATCTCTGCATGGCACATTCAACTTTGATCATACAGTATATTAGTTACTGAAAACATCACATGTGATCTTGTCTACGCATGTCAACAATGGTAGCTGATATAGAAGTCTGATGGGGATGTTTTTCAGAACATATTATTCCATTCTTATTCCATTTAATTAACTCCTAGTTTGACTCTAAGGTCAGTTCAAAGTGCTATCTTCTGGAAGGTGATTTAAAAAGCAATATGCTCTCACGTGTGCTTCTTTTTTCTTTGTTTTCTCTGCCATTGCCATCAGAATTGTAATCAGCAGGTATGTAAAACAGAATCTTTTGGCTTGCAGCTCCTGGAACTTGAATTTGGACTGGAATTCAACACTGATTAACCCTCTTTCTGATTGTGAATTGTATGAGAGTGCTATCTTATGTTACTTATTTTTCCTCTCATTATTCTGATTTTTATATTGATATTGTTTGCTTACGTGTAGCTGAATCACAGTGCATTGAAACTATGGACACAGGTGGGAGTGCATCCATTATTTTAAGGTTATTATTTAAAAGTCTGAAAGTGTAGCACTTTTAGTAAAATGATTGCTTACCTATGACTTTATCATTTAGTTTGTAAAGTTACCTGACCTTTGATCTTGAGTGACACCAATTAAGGGAAGGAAGGGAGAATAGAAACACATTTGTCCTCTCACATACCTTTCAGCAATTGGCAGTAATGTTTCTGACATAATACCTTATTGGTATCTGGCTAAGAGACTCACTGTGAGGCAGATGTTAGAATCTCACATTTGGTTGACAGTGGGACTATTATAGCATGAAATGAATTATATAAAACATTTATTTTTTGTTTACTTCTTTTGTCAAACATGAGCTGCATATGTCACTCAAAACACATCCTGATTGCTACCTTGCAATTTCAGATTGGTGCAATATTTGCACATATATTCTCTGCAGCATCAGTATGACCTGAAATATGTAGTGACATCCCCACTTTTCATCTTTAGGGTATAGTAAATAGTTAAAGAGTAGATGTCTCTAACATGTACCTTCAGAATAAATTCTATTAATATTCACTCAAGCATGACAGTCCATGTATATCTGTATTATAGTGTATACTGTATTAAAGCTGACTTGATGCATGCCCATAATACATGGCATATTTTACTTACATTTTTTCTGTATTAAAGTACTAAAATTATTAAAGTCTGACTAGGCACAAACAGAGAATAAAAAAATAGACAAAGAAAATTTTTCTATAATAGTATGTTTGAAATGTATCTAGTGAGCTGAATGAAAGAGATATTTGAGTTTCATATTAGAAATCAGACACAGAGCATACTTTAAGGCACAGAAAAAGGACCTAGAACCCACAAACAGTAATAAAAATGTAAATACCCCAAGCAGTTCCCATTTTTCATTAATTGAATCCACTTTTTCAAGGAGATCGCTTGATAACAAAACACCACTTCTCTTCAGAGCTTCGACTTTACTCAGCAATTCCATCTTTTTGGGATGTCTGATTGACATTTCTACACTGTACCTCTAAAATGAAAAAAAAAGATGAGTTAGCTATAGAAAAACACCTTTAATTAAAAAATAATCTTAGAAAGTAAGAGGAACAGAATAACAGAGTTGGGAGGGATCTTGTAATAGCAGTAGACTTAGCAGTAGACTTATATACCGCTTCATAGGGCTTTCAGCCCTCTCTAAGCGGTTTACAGAGAGTCAGCGTATTGCCCCCAACAATCCGGGTCCTCATTTTACCCACCTCGGAAGGATGGAAGGCTGAGTCAACCCTGAGCCGGTGAGATTTGAACCGCTGAACTGCTGATCTAGCAGTAGCCTGCAGTGCTGCATTTAACCACTGCGCCACCTCGGCTCTTGTAGGTCATCTAGTCCAACCCCCTGCTTGAGCAGCAGACCCTGAATATGAATATGACTGAATTTGATCTCACTATTATGTAATTCATTTACTTCTAAATGTCTTTTAAAATTACACCAATAAAATGAGACTAATGAAGACAACTGTGACATAAAGATAGCTTCCAACTCTGTTCAGCAGGGTCTCTGCATTCGTTTGGTTCCCAATTCTAATTCAAGTTAATGAAAATAATTCACATAACAGGCAAAATATATTTATACAGAACCTTTTTAAAGGTGATGTTTATACATTTCCTTGTATCTCTCAATTCTTGGGAGAAACATATTTTTTTCATATTCCCACATACAAATTGTTTTTTTGGCTGGGATCCAGCAAGTGACTTTATCCTATTCAAGGGCATATGAATCTTAATTGCATTTTAAAATACTTTTACATTTGCCAACAAATCTCAATCCATATCATAATCTGAATGTATTCACATGTCCCTCTAGCCTTAGTTTATGACTTGGCAAATAATCATTTCCTTTCCATTGGGTCTTCCAAAGAGCAGGCACAGTTGACCAGGTAACCAGGACAATGTCTTGTCTGGAAGCATATGACCGACTCATTCAACATGGGATATAGGTCAAATAATTAATGGATAGTTTATTAGCTCAAGCATTGGTTTGAAGGGCCCAGTGGGTTTGAAGGCACCTTGACTTAGAAAAAAGTTTATTAATAACAGAAAAAGGAGTTTACTGCCTCAGTAACTAAAATTAATGTTTCGGTGAGCATACAAAATGTGGTGATATTACTTTGGATCTCATACTTTGAATTGCAAAATCCATAGAAAGCCACTAAATGCCTAGACAGTTCTTATAGCAAACTTCCTCCTTTGGTACTACCCAGGTTCCCAATCATAGCCATCAATTTTGGGAACTGCAATTCTACCACCACTGGAAGGTATAAGCTTTGAAAATCCTGTATCACCTGCTCTTACACTTTGTTTCTGCACAGAAGCCAAAATAATATCACATGTTATGATATCACCATGCAAATAACATATATCAATTGCATTATGATGTAATTCATGTACAACATATACAGTGCAGATCACTCCTCCCCCTATAGATGCCTTAGCCCAGTGATGGCTAACCTTTTTTCCATTGCGTGCCAAAAGCGGGAGGAGCGCAGGGAGGTCATGGGCAGGCATGCCCACACCCATAATTCTATGTGCATGACCCCGCACATGCATACTGACACCCCCCATGCGCATGCGTGCATGACCCCTGCCCTCCCCTTTGTGCGTGATGGACTCATTTTTCGCCCTTCCCAGGCTCCAGAGGCTTTCTAGGATCCTGGGGTGGGTGAAAATGGTCTTCCCTGCCCCCTCTGGAGGCCCTCTGGAGACTTCAGGAGGCTTCCCTAAAGCCTCTGAATGGCAAAAAATGGCCAAAATTGAAGGCCAAAGGAGCTGAGAGGGAAACGCCTCATGCACCCTAACAAATGGCTCCACGTGTACTTGTGCCATAGTTTCTCCATCATGGCCTTAGCCCATTTGGAAAACTCTGAAATAAATTTGAGCAAACCAAGGCAGTTTACTTGGCAAAAAAACAAAAACAAAAAAAAACCAACAACCTATTACTGAATAGTTTCTNCTCCTCACACTCTCTCTCTCTCTCTCTCTCTCTCTCTCTCTCTCTCTCTCTCTCTCTCTCTTCACACACACACACACACACAAGTTCATATGCACATTTTCTTTCTGTTTTAAAGAAACAGTGATAATATGTATTTAGATACTAGTACAAAAAACAATTGCCAAAAAAAGCATTTAAAAGTGTCATATAAACTACACTTATCTATTAGCAATTTGCACATTTAACATTAGGTTTTTTGAAACCTGAAGAATAAAGTTCCTTCTGCTGCCATTGAAAGAAAAAACTTAAAACCAGAAGAAACTAGAGCAAAGTCAAAGTATACTAAAGAACGTTTGAAACATGGGTGCTTTTCTCAGATCCAAGAACACATTGCCTGACAAAACAAAACAAAAATATAATTGGAGGGTATTTAGCAGAAAACAAGGAAGGTGTGAAATCATTCTTTCAGCTAATAGATCCTCAGTGTTTGCATGAATATGTTTGCATATTGTTAATTTCATATTTTAATCTTTCATTTGCACTGCACATGAATATCATTTATATTTTGCCAACTTCAAATATTAGTCATTTGTGGATCACAGAGCAAAATGTTTTAAATTAGATGGTTTAAAGTATTTCTCATTATTAATAAACACAGATCAGATGCCAGTGTATCAAAAATAAGCATGAATATGCATAAGAGGCAGCCAATGATTGTTTAGATTTACAAAACAAACTTGTCTTTTCAATATGTGAAAAGGAAAGTAGAAGCTGTTTTTCTTTTTTCTTTAAAAAAATATCTGCATTAACAAGAAGTAATCAGGTTTCAAATGATAGGATTGGATCACAGAATAGCTAACCTTTTCCTTGGGCTAAAATTGCCAACAAGTATGATTCTTGGCTCTATATGATTGCCTTTTCAACTGGAAAGGGTGACTAGAGGAGATTACAATCTGCTTTATGTAATCTGATTTCTATTTAAAGATGATATAGCTGAAAAAGATTTGCATAATTATTTCTGTAAGTATGCATAATATCAAGAGAAATCCAAGTCTGTTTTAGCTAGAAAGTGCAATGTACCTGGTTTCACTTATTTTGCATTTTTCCTAGAAAGTCGAAGGGAATTCTCTAATTATCTGACTATGTTTTGCACTTGCCTACTAATATTTTTCACCTGTAATAAACTGGGTTTGTTTGCTTTGGGCTGAAAAGTATTATAGCTGTGTTTTTGAGCTGGTAAAGATTAACATCTAAACAAATCAGGCAGCATATGTCTCTTAACAATAATACTCTAGTTATCATAAAGACCTAATGGGTATCATTTAATTTTGGTTCTAAATAAAGTGGTTGCATTATGCAGCATAATACGAAGAGTCCTTGTGACAGATGCTATAAAAGATTATTACATTAAGCCAAATAAATAGGTTAGGTTTCTATATGCTTTCTGTCTCTTTCACAGAATATCATACTGCATAAACAGTGTGATAAAAGAGGCTAATTGCTAGAATATGCATTGTACAGTGGCTGGAAAAGTTATAGGGGGGGAAACATTTCACTGAAAACTGCACCAGATATGAAAAGAACAGTCAGTGTTGTTTCAAGGTAAAGGACTAAAATTGAAGTTATTTATTTCACTGTGAGAAAAATGCTTACTGTACTGTTGAGCTAAGATTCTGATAGCACATGATATATTTTTTTACCCTTCAAACACTTACATTCTGCAAAATTAGCTTCCCAGCTCTATCAGCGCTGCACAACCCTGGTTAGTAGGAGTTCTTTATCCTGCGGTGAGAAGATAATTTAATCTTCATATTCATTCTACCCTCAGCATTAAGTGAGCAAAGACGGCTGTATTGTGACAGGCTGTGAATGTTATGATATAGATTACTGTTCAATAGCCAACAATGAGATTGAGAATTTTTAAACTCACATCATTTCCTCTTTTTTTCCCTCCATCATCCAACAATAGCTACAATAAATAAAATGATTGAATATTTATTTTTCTACTTCATTTACCCGCAGAAAAAAAGCCTTACATATTTTTATGGCAAAGTCAGATGTTTATATCTATGGACAAGTAGAAGGAGTTTATTTTGAATCCACCCAAGAAAAAAGGGCAGGAGAGTGATGTAAGCTGAGGAATTTTGATCCTCTTCTCTTCCCCTCATTCTTTTTTCCTTCTCCACTTACAATCTTTTAAAGTAATTAAAACCAATACACCTTAGATATTTCGTAAAAGTTTGTACTAAAGACAGTTCACTGGAACATAATCAGGAAATGTAGAAAAGATTATTAAGAGAATTTTGTGATGAATGTTTCCTAAAGTGTCCAGCTTTTTCTTTGAGAGAGAGAGAGGGAGGGAGGGAGGGAGGGACAGAAATCACACCCCAAAATTCTGTCCAAACAGAGACTGGAACAATGCCTTGAAACAGCATTAATTGTCACCATGGAAACCAGAAGAATAAGCCATTTTGAACCGGCCTAGAAGGCACTCATTGAGCAACTAAGCATTTTTTTGTCTCCTTCAGTGTTAAAGAACAAGATGCCTAGTCACTAAGAGGTCAAAGAAAGAAATCATTATGAAAAGATCCTGGATGTCAACTGTGTGGTTAATGATAATAATAACAACAATAATAATAATTCTGACATTTAATAATAGACCAAGTCTTTATTGCACGCTTTTCATGAAAGAGCTGCATTGGGCATCCCTGCCCCACCCTCGCCCCACAAAAATCAGGATCTAGATTCATATTCTTGCCCTAGAGTGAAATGTTAGGGCAATATTATGCAGCCCTTGGGTCTAAAGCTCCCTGGGAATTTTGTTGTAATAAAACTTCAGAAGAGGAAAGCAAAAAAAAAAAAAAAAAAAGGAAAGGAAAGGAAAGGAAAGGAAAGGAAAGAGGGAAAAAAGGCTGCATGATGGAATTCAAAATAATGCTTTAAAAGCACACAGAGAGATTAAGACATCTATTGTATACTTTTGTATGGTGCTTCTGTGGGTTAAAGTGAAAAGAGACCAGACATACCAAACATAGCGAGCTGTGAACATA